CAACATGTGTGCAGGAAGCTCCACTGCACCAGAAACTACATCCACCTCAATCTCTTCTTCTCCTTCATTCTGAGAGCCGTGGCGGTGTTGGTGAAAGACGACATCCTCTTCAACCGAAACTCGCACTGCTCAAACCAGCCATCACTGGTGAGGTCACCACCTCTGTCCTCAGCGAGCAGAGTCATATCCCGAGGGAGGCCAACAATGCAGCACAGAGTACAGAAAGCCACACACTCATGTGTTAACAGCAGAACTGTCACAACGGGAAAAATGTTTCAGCGTAAAGCCTGACAAAGTTTAAAGCCTGAAATAATAAATGGGAATAAGGTCTGCATGCTTCAGATATGAAATTAACAACTGTCAAACGTTCTGCTGTGACAGTTTGTTATTCAGATTCAACTAATAATTTTCTGAAGGTGGCTGTGCAGGATTTCCTGGCAGTTAGCCCATTCATGTGTTCGGTGAGACAACAGCCAGTCACGCATGCTCCCTATCTGCTTAGCTGAGAGGGCCAGTAGCCTGCGTGCTTTCTGGTCCTAAAACTGTGGAAGCATGCGGAACATCAAGGAAGAAGTGTGGACAAGAAGAAAAAAAACCTTTACTGCATGCACCACTGAGCAGCTTTCATTAAAAGGCATGAGGAGTTAGGTTGTAATCTGGTACCCAGTCCTCCTAATACACCCGGGATATACAGTGAGCCACGCAAACATGGGAGCAAATCCAAAAGCCTGAAAATCCTTAAAGCTTCCGTGGGGCAAACTGTGCACCATCTTCACTGCGTAATAGACACTTTTGTGCTGAGTGAGTGAGCAAGAGTATGTGAAACTGTGCCCTAGTGTTACACTGTTGTTTTTATAAGTTACCCAGCACTGATGTGTATAGAAAAGCCTGCATTGCTGCCCAGTTTCATTGCAAAAGCATTGATAATACAATTTTGTCAAAGCTACAGGTGTCTCACAGATACTCGGTATCCCTGGCATTAGTGCTCTGGTGTATACAATTATGGTTATAGTCAGAGTGCTCTAACCTTGCATCCATGTGCTCCTTGGATAGTAGGATTTCCCATTTTGGAATGAGATTCTTCCGACTTTGTTGCGTTAGTACACTTTAAAAAGTTGGAACATGAAAATAGCTTGGACATTACAAAGACAAGGATATTGTATTTTACCAGGTGCTTTGCCTGATTTATTAGAATTACTATAAACTAGATCATTCTATTTGGATAGCAATTAACTGCTATGACCTAAAACCATAATACAATGCACAGTCAACATTTGAATAGATTTGTGGCACTGATCTAATTTTTCATGCAATCAACCAAATATTTATCTGCAATGTTTTAGTGTGACATCAGTAACTATGCAACTTTTTTTGTTATTGCCTATTTTCCATGTTCCTTTTCCCACTTGAGTGATGTTAATGTCAATTTTCCCAGGCTGACACGACCAACTCCAATTTTAGACCTACTCCCAGTATGTTTACTGCAGGTCTTTCATTCTGCAGGGCTGATGTTGCACAAGGGGTGTTTTTCCCCAAACATTATGCAAAGGAGTATGCCTTACTGAGTTTTCTGTCTGGCAAACTTGGCACTTAAACTGCCATCTCCGAACCTTCTATGGCGATGCAGACTTTCTCTGCCTCTAGATGAAGTCTGTTATCGCTAATCTTTCTGTCAATGCAAAAAGCACCAAATGCATCTGACAGGATAACAACAGTCATACTCTTGGATTAGAACACGATGGATATTTCACCCATCTGCACCATTACCCTTTGCGTCATTTCAATACGTTATAAATCCCGACTTAGGAAGATCGCAGCTTGTTCAGAGCAGTGTGACGGGCAAAAGATAAAGGACAAAATTTGCAACCTGTTTCTGTTATGTATGTATGTATGCTCACTGATGCGCTTTACACAGACTGATAAACACACTAGCTTTAAAACAGAAACACCACAAAAGTATCATCCAGTTATACCTTCATGAAGGCGGGTTTTAATTCATGACTGTTGTATTAGTTTCAGCTAATAAACTGACAGCAGAAAGCTGACATCTGATCCTCTCCTTGCCTCAGTAGCTGCCTGACTCTTCCCTCATGACATTCCTCCTCCACTCACCCTCATTGTCAGGGCACTCTGACCTTTATGCACTCATCTGCTTGGTGCTTGTGATGTCATAATCTGCTCGGGGTGAACTCTCTGACAGATCCAGTGGAAAAATGGAAATGTATACCCACATATCAGAATACTAAGTATAAATACATGATTATCCCACACTGTGCTCATGGTTAAAATTAACCGCATACAGTCAGCGATACAATGTACAGTCAAGGCTGATATTATCTAGTTTAAGTAGACACAAAGCCTATTTAACATCTTTGTACTCTTTCTGTGTTCTCTTTAGGTGGGATGTAAAGCCAGCCTGGTGTTTTTCCAGTATTTCATTATGGCCAACTTCTTCTGGCTGCTGGTGGAGGGTTTGTACCTCCACACTCTGCTGGTTGTCATTTTCTCGGAAAATCGACACTTTATTGTCTACATGTTCATCGGCTGGGGTAGGTACATTTTCTTATTCTTTATTTGATTTTGAGTCAAATGGCCACGTCGGAGCTTTCACTCTGTTATAGCTGCAGGTTTAGCAGCTTATTTATGATTTTGATTAGATATCAGAGCTCTTATTACTTTAGGCAGCTATTTAAGCAAATAAGTCAAAAGTTTTTTTTCCTCAAATTCAACAATACCGTGCTACATTTGTTATCCTACGGCATCAAACTTGATATAATGCTTGACTGAAAAGTTACCAGTTCACCAAATGGCCCAAGGTAAAGGAAAAGGAGAAACTTCATATGTGCTCAAAGTGGTTTGGCTTCAGTTAAACAAGGACTGGTTGGCAAACCACCAACAACCTCTGGTCGCTATAGCTATGGTGGTCCTATAGGGAAAAAGTACAAAGTAAAAGCTGTACCTTAATGCTGAAGCTAACTGCGGCGGGGCGTGGTCTGCAGTGCTGCTGCTACTCGATGGTAATGGAAAGCCAGCCAATCCGAGTCGAGTCGTGGCGAGGTGATCCTATTAGGTACTAATGGAAAAGAGACCTTAGTGAAGTTGCATAATAACTGAACTGAGCCTTTTTGCTGCTGCCTTCTTGGTATTTTAAAACCAGATATTAGAAGACATTAGGTCTGACTGAGAAACTGCCTCCTCATATGGTAATATAAACAATGCTTGACATCATAAACTGAGAAGAAAGGAGAGATTTTCTCATAGACTTCTGTGTAAAGACATCTTTTCCCAAACAGAGGATTTCCCCCCTGCTGGTTGTTAGTTTCCAGAAGCAATGTTCATCTTTTATTTCCATTTTTCCTCCTCTGAAAGACAGTAAAACACTGTCTAGTTTTGAGCTTGAGATGGAATTTATCAACAAACAATTAAAAGCCTTAATATACACTGAAGCAATCTGTTTAGAGTCTTAATACATGGAACTCACATTACTTTACTCAGAAAGATTAAATCGTAATGGATATTCCCGACTACTAGCAATAAAAAAAATAATACATGCAAACAGGATGTGATAATATTTTCTATACTTCATGGTTGTTGACAGGAATCCCCACAGTGTTTGTGTCTGCGTGGGTGATAACGAGGATTTATCTGGAAGACACGGGGTAAGTGTAACAATCAGAGAGTGAGTTATCACCATAGAAACGCGGTCCAGGTTTGTTATTTATGAACTATATAAAGTCTCTTAAACATACATGGATTATATTTTACTAAATAGATTTACATTCTGACTGAATGTCTGTCTGCAATGTGTTTTGCTTCAAGTTGACATGTGTCCATGTGTCATGCTCTCTCTGGACCTGTTTATTATATTCTCCTTTAAAGGTTGACAGAAGTTAGGCAGCTCCAGTTACATTAAAGAGAGGCATGCATTGGTATTCAACAGCAACTGCCTCTGTTATTTTGTTAGGGCCTCTTATTGATTAGACTGTTATTCAGTACCATGCAGGAATGGGGCCCAGTTTTTTAATTAATAAGAGAAATATCTCACATGTCAAAGTGCGCTTTATTGGATAATTTAGCTGACAGGATCTGCTTTGAGATGTCATCACAGGAACCTGGTGGCGTTTGGCTTTTGTTGCACATTATTGCAGCTGGCACTGCAGCTCATTATCTTTGAGTCATGCCATGTAGGCGTACTATAAAAACAAGCGTCTGAAACAACTCTATAACAATTACTGAGACAGGGTCTGATGGCAAAGGACAGTAAGGACATCACTCCAGAGTGTGAGGAGAATGATAATGAAGTTTGTTAAGTTTTAAGTTCATTACCAAAGCCAATAAGAAGACTGAGACTAAGTCACAACAGTGAGTCATTTAGTTTCCTTGACTTTTATTTGATTGAACCATACCATCTGAATGAACAGAAAGCTTAAATATTTAGTTGTTAGGACATCTGTCATATTTAAATGTGTCATTTTACCCTCAAAGACACGCTGACCTTAAGAGAGTGAAGAGTTTTCTATTTGGTATCCGCTCG